CTTGCTGGGATGAGTGTGCATTGAGGGTGCATGATTGAGCTATGGCATGTGGGATGATGGTAGGCAGCCAGAGGGGAAGTTGGTTATGTGATGCTATCACTTGCATTCACGTCTATCTGCCTCCCATCACATGTTCGTGCGTTGCATGCGTGGTGTGAGCGTGTGCAAGAATTTGTGTTTGATTTGGTTTGGTTTTTCTGAGTGTGTGTGAATGTAATTTGGCTTGAGCAGATATCTGAAGTAACTCCTCTGCTCAAGAGCTTTCCGACGAACCAAGTATCGCTTCAATCGGAGCACGAACAAGAAAGTTACGAACGTTGGAAGTTCGTATGCTTTTGATATTTGGTTGTGGTGACTATGGGAAGTTGTGGGGTTGACTCCATAAGGGGTATAGACTTTTGGGGGTTGGGAAATTCGTCAACATCACTGTTGATGCTGCCAAGTGGTTGGGAGGTGCCAAACCAGGTTGGCAAGTGTGGCCAAGTTGGGTTGAGATGGATTGTGGAGGTTGGGATAGTGACAAAGGTCAAAGTTGGGTTGCCTATGGGGAAGGGAATTGTGTGGCATGGGGTTTCCTTGGTTGGGGACTCTCTTGGGACCTTCCCTCTCGTCCTCCTCATCCCTTCCACCTGGTTTAGTGCTACTCTAATTCTCTTGTGTGAACTTGTGTGAGACTTTTGTGATTGAGTTAAGTTCTTATGGCAGCATACCCCCTTGTGCGCCGAAATTGATAAGTCGAGATTTACTTCACCTCTTGATACGATTCAAATTGGGAATTGTAGTCACGGACTAGGGCTACATCATATCTGAGTTTAGTGAAGTTTTGACTGTGAACTTTTCGTCGACGGCGTTTCTTGTGAGCGCGACTATTCTGTCCAGAAATAGAGACCAACGATTTTGAGAAATTTAGGCACCTAATCTTCATAGACTCCGTCCTTAGTCTCTAACAGGCCCCACGTCACAGCGACCCGACACGCAGTTGGTCGGGCCACCACCGTGGCCAGCGCTCCCCGGACCACTAAAGCCCCACTGCTACTTTGAGACCCTCTGCTACATCGACTGCTACTACTGATGTAGCCGCTGCTGCTACTGCTGCTGTATGACCACACCCCTATAGGTAGCACCTCCTCCAACTGCACCACTCGACCCAAGGCTGCCTCGAGTCTCAACCCCTCCAGAGACGCCAACACCTTCACCGCTGCCATGACCATGACCACGACCACCCTCAAACCTGTGCTTGCCATGCCACCCTGTGGCAGCAGCAGAAAGTGCAACCTCCGTAGTAGGAGTGGGGGTCCACTACAAAGGTGGAGGCAACAGAAACATGGGGATGGCGTCATGCGCACTAGCAAGGCGGTCAGGAAGGCCAATCATAAGGAGGTGAAAGGGTGAGATAGATGGGGGAGGGAAACTGTACAACCTGCTCAGTGGTGCAAGCGTCATAATAGCATGCGTCAAGTGAGCGAAGGTGGGTCATCAGGTCTGCAACACTGTGAAACATAGGTAGGCCAGGAAAGAGAAAGGGCACGATGAGAGGACCTCGGGTACCAGAAGAAGGGGTAGAGTAGCAGAAGCATTCCTTCGCCGTCCTTACCTGCTGGAAATGCACGCGCTCGACAGGGGGGAGGAGACGATTGAGGATAAGGCATTGCACAACACCCAGACTGGGTTCCTGGTATGGGCCGTGGCATGGGCCTCCTTGTCTACATCAGTGGCAGCACCAGTAAGAGCAGGGGAGCATGGGGGGGGCAGACATCTCACCCGACACGTATGTACGCGTTGATGTTAGAGTTCTTGAGGGTATTCCTAAAGATCACTGACAGGGGAGTGTAGAAAGGCAGGGAAGAGTCGGGGTGTACATTTGTACATAGTCGAGGCTGCGGAAAACGGGGTACGGAAGCGACAACAGAGTGGGGTGGGCAACTCGGCAGTGGCGGGCAACGGGTGAAGGTTGGGATGAGCCCGTGGCTGGCCTTGGAGGGGGATGGCGAGCTTACGTGGCGGAAGGATGGGGAATGGGGGTTGCTGGGGTGCATGCGTTTGTTTCTTGTTTGTGTGCAGACACCGAGTCCAGGGGAGCTGGAAGTCACACCCGGCAGCTGGAGGAAGGCAGGATCGCTGCAAGGATGGCAAAGCTAGGCTGTTAGCACTCGTCTCTTGGTAGCCATGCTTAGCTAGGGAAGGGTGGGAACACTAAATGAGGCTCCTGGGCCATGGGACTGCTACTGCGTGTTTGTTTTCGCAATATTCTGTGATTTCTTCTGAAGATAAGCAGTCTCATAGCGAAGCCACATCCGCAGTCCTGATGGGTTAGGAAAGGAAAGACCTCACAAACACGCAGTCTGAATGCGATTGCGGTCAGGACGGTTGGTAGAAGGAGTTAGAGCAACGCAAGGACAGGACGGAATAATGATGGGAGGAGATGGGAATTCGCGTGAGAACAATCTGACGGCAGGAGGCGGAGACGTAGAGGGCCAGAATGGGCCCAGTGAGGGAGCAACCACCATGGGGTGGTGCTCAGATTGGACGTAGAGGCAATGCGCTGAATGGATCAGAAGGACCGCAGGGGACGCAGGCGCGGCCGCGGTCATAGATGGGTGGACAGGTGGGGTATCAGCGAAGTGCCTCCTGGCAAGGCACGGAGGAAGAGACGACGATGTAGCACTGGAAATACACTCAGGTGCCGAAGATCGAAGTGCCTGAAAGATTTTCCGGCGATGCTCGGCGGGGTCCGAGCCTGAAAAATTACATCATGCAGTTGGAGAACCTGCAAGCGCGATGGGCAAAAGATCAGCTGGATCCAGAAGAGTTCTTCCGGGGGCTGGCAAATACGCTGACCGGAGAGGCGTAGACCTACTATCGGATATCTTGCAAGGAGCTATTGGAATGGGCTGCGGGGCGGGCCCCGGGAGAAAAGGATCCGACGGCGAGGTTTCTCACGATGCTGCGAGAACAATTTCCAGCGCAAACGGCGGAGCGAGTGGTAGAGTTTCGAGCGTTCAGAAGGCGGGAGGGAGAATCGCTGCTGGCATACTACGGGAGACTGGTGGAGTTAGGAGAAGACATGAATTGTGGAGACCAGGGACGACTGATGGGGAAGTTTGTGCACGGCCTGAGTCAACCGCTGCGGCAGGACGTGGAGGTGCGGGTGTTGGAGTTGGGCGCGGAGGCGACGCTGAAAGAAGCATACGAAATCGTCAAACGCGTAGAGACGGGACGCAGGATTTATGAGGTGGAAAGAACGGTGGATCGGGGACCTGAGAGGAGACGACCGGCATGGGCGGCCGCATCCGCGCATCATGAGATGGAGGAAAGAGGAAGGGAGGAGACCCGACGCTGCCACAACTGCGGGCAGCGAGGGCATTTGCGCAGGGATTGCCGGAACCCAGCAGCATGCTCGCTCTGCGGGAGCCGCGAGCACATGCGCCGGGACTGTCCGGGGGCACCAGTATGCGCACGCTGTGGAAGAAAGGGGCATCGGGAAGCAGACTGCTACGCAAACCGCAGGGACAGGCGAGGAGCGGAGGGAGGCGAAGATCGGCAAGCCACCATGGCACGATTGCGAGCGCAACTGGCAGAACTGGAAGCAGCGGAGGAGAAGCAGCCGGCAATGGTGGCACATGAAGAGGAGGACACGGAAGAGCCGGAGTTCATGTTGATGGCGCAGCCGGCGCGGGAGCGAGAGGAGCTAGGCTTGAGGAGCGGCGCGCGCAGGCAGCTCTTCAGAGAGGACGAAAGGCGGGAGGATGGCCCGAGGAGGCGGGCAAGTGCAAGCGAGGACAGAGAAGGAGCGGCGTTTCGACATCCGCGCAACCGCATGATCTGCCAGGCCACGGTGCTGACGATCGAGCCAGGGGCAATCACGATTGGGGGACTGCGAGCTCAGAGAACCATTGTGGACACGGGAGCAGCACACGTACTAATTGGCAAGCAACTGGCGGAGAAGCTTCAGTTGGACAAGGCTGAGCGGCTGATACCGGAAGGCTATCTGCTCATGATGGCGGATGGAGGGGAGGCAAAGTGGATGCCGAAAACTCGGCAGTCCATGGCCCTGGTGTTGAATCCGGGTACACTAGAATAGTGCACGCTAAGGGTACACTGCGGGGTGTCGGAGTCCTTGGACTTCAATCTGCTTATAGGGGTGGAGTACCTCTTCGGAATTGGCTCAACCATCTGCATGTGGGAAGAAAAGGTGCAGTATCGTGTGCACTACTGGGAGGACAATGGCCCCATCGGCACGCTGCCGGTGCGCTTCGTGCGGAGAGAACCGAGGGAAGCGTACCAGTGCACTGAAGCTGAGCTACGGGAAGAATTGGGAGTTCCCTCCTGGCAGCAGATCGCGAGAATGCCGACAGCACCGGAGGGCACAAGCGAGGATGACGGAGACCTGATGCGGCTGTGTACGGACACCAAGAAATTGCTGGGCCCCACGGTAGTGTTGGAGCTCTTCGGCGGCATTGGCACGGGGTTGGCAGCACTCCTGAAGGCGGGGGCCTACGTGGAGAGGTGGATACTGGTGGAATCGGACATGGAGGCAGTGAAGATGGCATGGAATCATGAGATACCCGCACCAGCTGACAGCCTTGGCGTTAGAATAGAGCGCGAGCACTCAGGCCTGCGACATCCGCTTGATAACGGAACTGACCATTAGGGGGTGGGGAAAGATTGACGTGGTCGTTGCTGGTTGGGAGTGTCAGGGATACTCGCGGGCAGGGGCAGGTAGAGGTATGAGGGACGAAAGAAGTAGCCTCTTCAGGGAGTTAGTACGGGTGCTACGGCTCATCAAGTGAGTGCAAGGGGAAGTGCTCTACATCGTGGAGAACGTGAACATGGAGGGGGATGTGCGGGAACAGATCCAAGTGGCGCACGAGGAAGTGACAGGGGTACTGGGCCCAGGGATTGTAGTAGATGGGGCGCAGACGGGCAGCAGGACACACAGGGTGCGCCGCTACTGGACGAATGGAGTAACGAATGCTGCACTGCAATACCGCTTATCGCTGATGGAACGCCCAGTGCCCTTACTGGTGGAAGACATCCTTGAAGCGGGAAGGATGCCCGCACCAGTCACGCAGCCGGATCACCCGACCCAGTTTGCATGCAATGAGGTGGGGAAGCCGCGGCAGGCTTGGCCCACGTTCGTGTCATACGAGGGGGCAGCGGCCTTCAAGATGCACGGTGAAGACCCGGGGCCAGGGCTAGTATACGACTGTACGGCGGGAGAATGGCAAGAACCGACAGCGTTGGAGCGGGAGTTGGCTATGGGGTTTATGGAAGATGCGACCGCACATCCAGAGGTGACGGAGGCTGAACGAAGGCGTGCGCTAGGGAGAGCCATGGACCTGAACGTCATGCACTGGCTGATGGCGACGATCCAAATGTATCACTCACAGCTGCGGTGGGAACGAAAGCGGGATAAGGCAGCGGCAGTGCAACCACCCACGGAGCGCTCGACAGCTAAGGCGGCACTGGCCAGGGCCATGTTGGGAGAGATGCACGAGAACGACATGGTCCAGCACCAATTGGGGCATCCGCTGGAGAGGAGGTGGGTGTATCCGTGGGAAGAGGAGGACGAAGTACCAGCATTGTATGCAGAACAGACCCAGATCTGGCTGCCAGCAGCACAGGAAGAGGCCGCCGTGGACAAGAAGCGGGAGGACTTGGACTGGGTGGAGGAGGCCATCGAGAGGCAGCGGCGAAGGGAGAGTTACGAGCGAGAGTTCGGGTCAAGAGAATTCGCGCTGATGGCGGCAACGAAGGAGGAAGGGGTGGAGACGAAAACTCAGGGAGGGCACCTGGAGGAGAAGGCACAGGGCCTGCAGACAGAGCCAGTCAAGACAGAAGGGTCAGCGTGGGGGATGGGGGAGAAGCAGCCACCAGCATCAGCGACAGCAGAGCAGCAGTGGGAGATCGGCGACGGCGTCACCGAGGAAGACGCGGCTGAACTGAGGAAGGTGCTGGCGAAGCATCGGCCGGCGTTCGCTTACACACTGAAGGAGGTGGGCAGGTGCAACATGGCGGAAGTCAGCATCGAGTTGACCACAGAGATTCCGGTGTACCAACGGCGGCGGAGGATGACAGCAGAAGAGATACAGATCTGCACAGAAAAATGCCAAGAGCTGATGGAAGCCAGGTTCATACGGAAATCCAACTTAGAGTACGCAGCAGCCACGGTGGTAGCTGCCAGGACAGACCTCACAGGGCAAGTGCTGTCAAAGCGAATGTGTGGGGACTACCGCGGGCTAAACAAGGTCACGGTCATAAAGCGGTACCAAACGCCTACGCCAGACGAGCTGTTTGACAAGCTAGCGGTAGCAGTGGTCTTCTCCACGCTGAATCTACGGCAGGGGTTCAACCAAATACCCATCGTAGAAGCGGGCCGGAAGAAAACCGCTTTTCATGGGCCGGACGGGCAATATGAGTGGTACACGTTGCCATTTGGACTGAAGTCGGCCTCGCCGGAATTCCAGCGCATCATGGACCAGATTCTGCGGAACGTGCCGAACGCCCACCTGCTATATCGACGACGTGATCGTGTTCAGCACGGACAGCAGCTCACATGTGAAGGATGTCGAGGCGGTCCTGAGTGCGATACAGAATGCCGGGATGACCTGCCACTCAGGGAAATGCAAGTTCGGCCAGAGCACGGTGGCGTACCTAGGATTTGAAGTGGAAGGGGGGAGGATCGGCATACAGAAGGCGAAAGTGGAAGTGCTGGATCGCGTGTCAACACCGAAGGACAGGAGTACGCTACGCGCACTGCTAGGCTTCCTCAACTATTACAGGAAGTTTGTACCAAACTTCAGCAGCCGAGCGCAAGCACTGAATCAGCTACTGCGGGAGGATCGCAAGCGGGAGTGGGGACCAGACCAAGAGAGGGCCGTGCAGGACCTCATGGGCGCCGTTAAGAATGGGGCAGTGCTGGAGCTGCCTCGGGCGGATCTACCTTACGTGCTCTACACTGATTGGAGCAGCGCGGGCATGGGGGCAGTCCTGGCACAGATGAAGGGGGAGGTGGAGAAAGTAGTCGCCTTCGCAAGCCGCAGCTGCAACGCGGCAGAAGCCAACTACTCGTCATACGAAGGAGAAGGGTTAGCGGTAGTATGGGCAGTAAAGCACTTTCGAGTGTACCTACACGGGAGAAAGTTCACCCTGGTGACTGACCACCAGCCATTGCTATGGCTCATGGAGACGCCGGATCTGACAGGCCGTAACGCGCGGTGGGCAATGAAGCTTCAAGAGTACGACTTCGAGATCAAGCACAGGCCCGGGATGACCATGCAGCACGTCGACGGGCTCTCGAGGAATCCACCGGCGGTGCAGCCCTCAGCCTGCCTTATGGCACTAGGAAAGGAAGCAGATTGAGGGAGGCAGTGGGGAGAAGTGCGAGCGGGGCCAGCAGACATATGGGAAGATAAGGCAGCCTTAGCATGGATTCAGGGGGCAACCACAGAGGAGGGAGCAGTTACGGCAAGAGTGAGAGCACGAGGCGAGTACTACCGCTGGTTCAAAGGACAAGTGCAGCTAAGGACTGGAGAAGGATGGAAGCACGTGCCCGCCCCACAGGAGAGAGAGGGCATCATCAAAGAGGTGCATGAGAAGCTGGGGCACTACGGGCCACTGAGAACGCAGCAGTTGGTGCAAACAGGATGGTGGTGGGCAGGTATGCGCAAGCAGGTTAAGGATTGGGTGTGGAAATGCGAGGCATGCTGCCGGAACAGGGCGGTGCTGGAACGGGAGAAAGCAGAACTGCAGCCGTTACCCGTGGTAAGCTTGGGCTACAGGTGGTCACTGGACATCGCGGGGGAGCTTCCCGTCAGCGCGAAGGGAAGGCGCTACATACTACTGATGGTGGAGCACGTAAGCAAGTGGGCGGAAGCCAAACCCTTGGTGCACAAGACGGCAGAGGCAGTGGCAGAAGCGTTTGAGGAGATGGTGGTTACGCGACTGGGGGCATGCGGGGAGGTGCTGATGGACCAAGGCACGGAATTCAAAGGGGCGTTCGATGAGCTGCTCAAGGCAACAGGGATCAAGCACCGCAGCATGTCGCGCTATCATCCGCAGAGCGACGGTTTGACCGAGAGACTGGTGCAGACGGTGAAAAAGGGACTGAGGGCCTACGGAGAGGAGCATAATCGGGATTGGGATAAGAAGCTCTGTTGGGTGATGGCGGGGTACCGATTCAGCAAGCAAGCGGCACTCAAGGACGTGTCGCCATACTACCTGCTGTTTGGCAAGGAGCCGGTGATGCCCGTGGGAGCGCCAAGGCTCCTCTTGGACGTGGTGACCACGGGGTCGGCGGAAAAGTGGGTTGCAGTAGCCGACGCGCGTGCGGCATACTTGCGGCGGCTGCTGCCCGCGGCCATGGAGAATCTGCATGTCGCACAGCTGCGGGACATTGAAAGATACAAGCAGCGGCAAGAGAGGGTCGGAAGAAAGGGGGAAGCAGGGATGCAGGAAGGTGAGGAAGTGTACCTGAGGCGGCAGCGACAACACGCGTTGGATGTGGGGCTATCACAGCAGCGATGGACTGTCAAGGAATTCAAACCGTCAGGGGTGATCGTACTGGAGGATGGTAAGGGCAAGCGAGTGGCGGATCACATGACCAATGTGGCGAGGATTCGCTCGGAGAAAGGCAAGGGAAGCCCCTCAGGTCCCATGACGCGGGCGAGGGCGGCGGCGATGCGTCACGGGAGGGGGCAGGAAGGGGCTGAGAGGGAAGTGAGCAAGGACAAAGGTAAACAGAAAGTGGGGTAGAGGAACTGCACCGAGAAAGAAGGGAGGGGGCAGTCAAGGAGAGGCAAGGTAAGCAAGGTGGGAGAGTGCCAAGGGGCAGCAAGAGAGGAGGTGAGACAAGAAAGGGGCAGACAGAGGGAAGGTGCACGAAGGGCAGGAACAATGGTAAAGGAGGGGGCGGGGAGTGAGCCTGAGAGAAGCAAGGAGGTTTCCGACAGCTGTCAGAGTTCTTGAGGGTATTCCTAAAGATCACTGACAGGGGAGTGTAGAAAGGTAGGGAAGAGTCGGGGTGTACATTTCTACATAGTCGAGGCTGCGGAAAACGGGGTACGGAAGCGACAACAGAGTGGGGTGGGCAACTCGGCAGTGGCGGGCAACGGGTGAAGGTTGGGATGAGCCCGTGGCTGGCCTTGGGGGGGGATGGCAAGCTTACGTGGCGGAAGGATGGGGAATGGGGGTTGCTGGGGTGCATGTGTTTGTTTCTTGTTTGTGTGCAGACACCGAGTCCAGGGGAGCTGGAAGTCACACCCGGCAGCTGGAGGAAGGCAGGATCGCTGCAAGACTCGTCTGTTGGTAGCCATGCTTAGCTAGGGAAGGGTGGGAACACTAAAAGAGGCTCCTGGGCCATGGGACTGCTACTGCGTGTTTGTTTTCGCAATATTCTGTGATTTCTTCTGAAGATAAGCAGTCTCATAGCGAAGCCACATCCGCAGTCCTGATGGGTTAGGAAAGGAAAGACCTCACTGGAAGGGGCTGAGAGGGAAGTGAGCAAGGACAAAGGTAAACATAAAGTGGGGTAGAGGAACTGCACCGAGAAAGAAGGGAGGGGGCAGTCAAGGAGAGGCAAGGTAAGCAAGGTGGGAGAGTGCCAAGGGGCAGCAAGAGAGGAGGTGAGACAAGAAAGGGGCAGACAGAGGGAAGGTGCACGAAGGGCAGGAACAATGGTAAAGGAGGGGGCGGGGAGTGAGCCTGAGAGAAGGAAAGAGGTTTCCGAAATTGACCTGGCGCCGACTTTGCAGGCAAAGTTGAGCGTCACTCAGCCACATGTCAAAGTCAATCGCCCTCCTTGACATAGTGTCCACAAACTCGGGCGTCACAAAGGAAGCCATAGAGAGAAGTGGTGCAACTAGAAGCAAGAGCGGGGCAGAGAAAAGAGGCTAGGAAAGACAGGAGGAGCAACATTAGGAACGCGGCTGAAAACGGCACTAGGGATGGCAACTGAAACAAGTAAGAATGGCTACGCACTATTGGGAGTGGAGGTTCAGGCCACTAAGAAGGCTAGGGTGACTCTGTCGGTACGAGCGGCTCGGCAAGCGCACTTTGCACATCACTGATCGTGTGGTAGTGCAGGGCAGGAGGTGGAGGTGTGGGTTGTTGTAGCTGAAGCTAACCTTTCCTGCTAGCGTTAGTTGCAGTTGCTAGCGTGAGGTGTCGCTGCTGGCACTAGCTGCTGCTGATCGCACTAGTAGGTGCTGCGGGCGCTAGTTGCTGTTGGCTACAGCACGCTGTTGTTGCTGCTTGTCCTAATGGACAGCATCACACTGCTGTTGCTGCTACTGCTCACGCTATTGGACAGCATCACCCTGCTGCTGCTGGATTGCACGGCTGATGTGCTGGGCGATGGGGCAGCAGGGCACATTGGGCGACAGGGCAGCGGGGCGCGCTGGGCGAAAGGACACAGACTGGGTGATTGGGCAGCAGGGCACACTAGGCGACGGGGCAACGGGGCGTGGGGCGCGCTGGGCAATGGGGCAGCGGGGCACGCTGGGTGATGGGGCAGTGGGGCGTGCCAGGTGACGGGGCAGCGGGGCGCGCTGGGCGACTGGGCAGCAGGGCGCGCTGGGTGATAAGGTGTACTAGCAGTGAGCGCAAAGCAGGTTGGGGAGAGGGGGGGAGGAGGGGGGGGGAGGTGTGGGGGGAGGAGGGGGGGGGTCTCAGAAAGTGAATGCAACGGAATGGATGAACTAGGCAGCAGTTGGATCCAAATAGGAAACCCTAAGTGGGTTATCCCCTCTAGACAGCACCTCACTACAGCCTATAACAAATAATAGCATTTGACACACCCCCATAGGCTAAGTGAGGGGCATCTAAGCAAGCAGAGTGAACAAACAGTCACAAGACCAGTCAAGACAAGAAGCAAAGCAAGCTCAGGGTGGGTCTCAAGGACACCACACAAATTCCGAGCACAAGCAAACGGCCAGAAGGCCAGTTCAAGAGAGTACAATATATATAAGGGCAATGACAAACAGAACAAGCAACAAGAGCAACACTACAGCAAGCAAGGGCCTACCTCAACAAGCCCCAACTGCATGCAAATCATGTGGTGGTCACCAGGCACCAAGGCCTTGGTGAAGACGTCAGCAGTGATGGCCTCTGAGGCCACAAAGTCCAAGCGTGCCTGGCCGCGCTGCTGTAGCTCTCGCAGGAGAAAGTACCTCACGTCAATATGCTTCACTCTGCTCTCCAGTCAAGGCTCTCGACACAGGAGGATCATGGCCTTGTTGTTAGCGTACAAGGTCGGCGCAAAGCGAGGCCGCTCACCAAGGTCGGCGAGCAAGAAGGTCAACCAGCGGAGCTCCTGTGCCGCCATGGCACCAGCGTAGATCTCTGCCTCTGTACTGGACGAAGCTATAGACGACGATTGTGTAGACCTCCACGACATGGCACCAGCACCCAGACTGAAACAGCAGCCGTGAGTTGAACGCTGGGTCTCCACGTCATCAGCGTAGGAAGAGTTCAACGCAACTGGTTGTGTCCCTCCAAGCACAAGCCCCATGCCTGATGTAGTCGCCAGGTACATCACCACTCTCACAGCAGCTGTCCAGTGAACAGGACGGTATCTCCCAGTCGCAACAAAGCGAGAGAGGACGCTGAGGGGAAAGGCGAGGTCCGGCCGAATACAAGTCATCAGGTACATGAGGCAGCCCACAAGCTCTGCGTAGGGACCACTAGACTCAAAGGGCTCATCGGGAAAAGGACCAGTAAGACGGTGGTCAACGGCAAGAGGAGTGGGCTATGTAGTGGAGAACTGAAACCCGAACCGCACCATGTGTGACTAAGTCAGCGTGACTGATGGTGTGAGCGACTGTGTCCCTGGTGATTTACAGGCCAAGGTAGCACTGCAGCTCACCGAGGTTAGTGCACGTGTGTCTCTTCTGCAGTTCGGATTTCACCTCCGCCAGTGCTGCCCTGTCAGCTGTAGCAAATACCAGGTCGTCGACGTAGACCAAGATAAATAAGGGAGTGGAGCCAGTGCAAACAAACAGCGACGGGTCAGCAGAGGAGGGACGAAACCCTAGGTCACGAAGCGTGGAGCGCAGAGTGTCGTGCCACTTATGGGGTGACTGGCGGAGACCGTAGACTGGCCGCCTCAAGCTCCACTGAGTCCCAGGTGGGAAGGTGTGTGTGAAACCAGGAGGACGGTGCAGCCAGATCTCCTCGTGTAAGCGGCCACGGAGGACAGCTGTGGAGAAGTCAAGAGAGTGCAGCTCGTAGTCTCGTTGTGTTGCTATGTGGAGTAACACCCGAAGAGTGGTCATCTTCGGGGTCGGGGCAAAGGTCTGGTAGAAGTCAACTCCCTCATGCTGACTGAAGCCCCTAGCCACGTAACGCGCCTTGAACACAGGCGGTGATCCAGGCGGCCGCTTCACCTTGAAGAGCCACATGCCATCGACAACGTTCGCCTTGGGAGGGGGAACTGCGTCGACGTAGGTGCCTGTGGATCTCCAAAAAACCAACTCTGAGTCCATGGCTACTTTCCACTGAGAGGCCCACTCCCCTGACACTGCCTCACGGTACGTGTGAGGAGCCGGTATGTCAAGGGCGTTGGGGTCTCCCTCAAGAGAAAGCAGCATGGCACAGAGAGAGGGGGAAGCGGTTGCCAGGAACTCCAGCTCAAACTGCCTGTCCTCGAGGACGTCACAGCCAAGGGCAAACCCACCCTTGGCGGCCTCAGGACAGGCAAGCGGGGCAGCTACGACACGTGTGGCAAAGTCAAGGCGGCGGGTGGACGCAAAGTCAGTGACAGCGGCAGTAAGAGCGGAGACAGACGACCGAGCGGCACGAGGGTCGGTGACAAGAGAGGCGAGAACACGCGAGACAATAGGACGCGCCGTACGGTAGTAGTCAGTGATAGGGTGAGAGGAGAACGGGAGGTGACGGGAGAACAGACTCTGGTGGAGCACGACAAGGACTGGAATGAAACAAGGCAGTGCAGAGGTCGGCAAGAGGAGACGAGGGACGAGCACGCGGGGGACAACGAGTGGTCTAGTCGTGTGGGACAACTGGAGGAGGTGACAGTGACAGAGGAGGAGGGAAAACAGCCGGAGACGGGTCCGGAGGAGGAAACGTAGGACCGTACGCGGACGAAGAGTGTGGGTGGACAGGAGGAGGGGAGGGAAGACCAAGGACCCGAAGGCCACTCACTGTGGGGCCTCCGGCTGCGGTGGCTGCTGCTGCTGCTGCTGCTCCTGCTCCTGCTGCTCCTGCTCCTGCAGGTCCTGTCAGAATGTTGTATTTGTCTAGTCTGCAGTGGGGTACTCTATAGTGAGTACAGCCCTGCTAGGGTTTGCTCTATGTATCCCATTGCTTGCTAGTGAAAGCTCCCTTCTGCTGTTCTCTTTCTGGTTCCTTTTTTTACATGGTATCAAAGCATCTACGCTCCTGGCCTGTGGGCCCACTGCTGCTGTACTATCTGTCGCGCGCCCCGTGGCGTGCGACGTTTTTTCTTCCCGCCACGCGTTCGGGGCGCGTGGCGGTTTCCTGCCCGCCGTGCGCCCCGGGCGCGCGGCGGTTTTCTGCTCGGTGCGTCGCCCCACCTGACCCGCGCCCCGCCCCGTGGGACCCGCGTGCCGCCCCCGCTGGACCCGCGCGACACCCTGCGGGACCCGCGCGCTGCCCTGCTGGACCCGCGCGACGCCCTGCGGGACCCGCGTGCCGCCCCCGCTGGACCCGCGCGACGCCCTGCGGGACCCGCGCACCGCCCCTGCTGGACCCGCGTGCTGCCCCGCTGGACCCGCGCGCCGCCCCTAAGGACCCGCGCACCGCCCCTCCTGGACCCGCCTGCCGCCCGCGCCCTGCCCGCTGCGAGCGCCCCACAGCCCGTCCGCGCCCTGTACGTCGTGACGCCGCCCGTCCTCCCCCCTCCTCCTTCGACTTCGTGCAGCCGTGTGGAGGGTATGGGGGTGGCGGGGGTAAGGGGGGGTATAGGGGTGGTGGGAGTGCGTGACCACCTGCCCCTCCTCCTCTCTCTCCCACTGCTGCTGCTGCCGCTGAGGGGGGGATGGAGTGGGTGAGGTTGGGGAGTGGCGCTAGCCGGGGGGGATGTGAGAAAGGGGTTGGGGGCAATGGGGGGAGGTTGAACGGAGGTAGCTGCTGTGGAGCCAGCAGCGCCAATAGTCCAGATGCCCTTGCTCCGGTAGCCAGCGAGCCCGTTGCGCTAGTCGCCTGTGGGTCCGTTGCTCCAGCCGCTCGTCTTAGCCGCGGAGCCAGTTACTCCAGTAGTCCGGGGCCCTTGCTCCAGTAGCCAGTGCGCCAGTTGCTCCAGTCGCCCGTGTGCCAGCAGCTTCAGCAGCCGCCTCCAATATCC